ACAGCTGCTATGGAAAATAGTTTGGCAGTATCTCAAGAAGTTGAACACACAACTACCATAAGGCCTAAATCCCAATCCTTGTTATGGAACTAAAAATGATGAGAAAGCAGAAACAGAACCTTTACAACAATGTTCATTGCAACATTATTTGCAATAGCCAAAAAGGTGGAAACAACCAAAATGTCCATGCATACAATAAGAAATTATTTATCCACAACATAAACTTTAAAAACACGGTCCTAAGTCACAATGGGACAGGTATTGTATGATTTCATGATTTTAAAATAGGCAAAAAGAAATCAAAACTTACTAGTAGTTACCAGGGGTGGGGGTAAGTGGAAGTGGGGCAGGGCGTTACTATAGCAACATCTCGCTTATTACAAGGTCCAAACTCAAACTCACTGCCATCAGTCAATACTGGCTCACAGCGACCCCCCCACCAGTGGATTTCTGAGACTAACTGTTTAAGGGACTGTTTAAGGGAGTAGAAGCGCAGTCTTTCTTCCATGGAGCTTACTGGTGCTTTCAAACTGCCGACCATATGATCGCAGCCCAAGTCGTTAACCACACCGCCAGGGCTCCTCTACTAAATGGCTAGTTATGTGAAATTTGGCAAAAATGAGAGATGACATCAGCTTACAAAATGGAGAATAGTTAAATCTTTACATAACTACCAAATCACATATGCCAAACCACTGAGAATCATGGCCCAGCCAAGTTGACACATAACCTTAACCATCACAGCATTACTATCAAACATACATCACTAAGGCACAAGGTAACTGGGCAGATTTTTCATGATCGTCAGAAATGAAAAATGTTGGACAAGATATTCAACAACGTGGGCATATGAACAAAGCACTGAGACTGCTGATGAGGGGGAACAGTTCAGAAAATGACAGTGAGGATGGGTGCGCAACGTCAAGCATGTGATCAGTGTCAGCACACTGCACATGCAAACATCATTCATTCGACAAATGTTCCAGATGTATCTTACCCAATTGCAAAATCAATGAATTAAAAATGTAACAGTGGAATAATTAGACCCAAAGTTAATCCTTTACAAGATTAATAGACTAGACAAACTTTGGACAAGATATATACTGAAAGAAGCCAGACATTAATTTCAAGATTTTTTAAAGGAATGTAACTACTGAAAAACAAACAAACGATTAAGGCAGTATCATGAGCTTCATGCCAATGAATTTAAGATTTTTGTTGAAATGGACAATTTTCTAAAATTACTGAAACCAAAAGAAATTGAAAACCTCAACAATCCTAAAAGTATTAAATGACTACTATTAAACTATTCATAATGTGCAATTCTTCACAAAGAAAGCATTAGACCCAAATGATTTACATGTAAATTCCAGATTTCAAAAAACAAACCACCCAATCCAAATCGCCCAGAGAAAACAATTACTACATTAACTCACCGCATAAGGCCTATGTAACCTTAATCCCTAGTCAAATGTAACAGTTAATAAAGAAAAATAACAATTACATTCATAAACAGGTAAAAAACTTCAAATATTAATAAACGCAAATTAGTAGCACATAAAGCTAGGTAGTCTGTTGAGACCAATTTGGGTTTATGTAAGCAATGCAAGAATGAGTTAAAATCGGAATTGACTCACTGCAGTGGTTGGTGTGTAGGTAATTTAACAGCTTGAACAAGGGGGAAAAAACATTTTCAACAGGTGCATAAAGTCATGACAGAATTGCAAGCAAAAACTTTTTCAACTTAATGAAGCTTATACAGAAACTCACAGCACATATCATTCTTAACTAGGAAACATTACCTTTCAAAGTTAGGAACAACACATGTATAGTCATTATAATGATAACAAAAAGGCTGGAGGTTTGAACCCAGCCAGCAGCTCTGAAGGAGGAAAAACCTTACACTCTGTTCCCATAAAGTTTACACCCAGAAAACTGCCTGGGACAGTTCAACTGTGTCAACATGGGATTTAGTTGATATCAAGCTGATATCAAAAATCCAAAACCCAGTCGTTGAGTTGGTGCAGTGAAACAGGTCAGCATAAACTTGATGACAGTGAATTGGGGGTGGGGGGTTAGTATCAGAGTGGTTTCTGTTAGCAGCTGATCACATCTGTACCACCCACCAATTTTTTGGCTCACAAACCTTCCCCCCCCCAAAAAAAAACCTTTTAAAAATTACAAACCCCTTCACACATTAAAATGGCATCTAAAAAGTGTCATGTTTAAATAATTAGAATTTCTTCAGTACCTGGTGACATTTTAAAATAAACTGATACATCATTTTCCTAAACATATGTCATCATAACTATACAACTAATAATAAAAATCTAGAAATTAATACCATTTGTGTCCAAGTATTCCTTTAAAAATATCCATAACTCCGCTGGAGGTTTAAGTACCTTAGTATAAAAACTTAGATAAATTCTTGCCTATCTGACCAGAAAATATGTACAAGAATATTCATTAGTCAATTCTTGAAAACAATGAAAATGTCTATCAACCAAACATATAAACTGTGTTAGAGTCACCCATGGAAAATTATACAGCAATTAAAAATTAAGGACTGACATCAATATCCAGTAATACTCTTGACTCTTAGAAACATACCATTGAATAAGTTCTAGAAACCCATATCCAGAATGGTTTTTTCCCCACAACTCAAAAATAGAAATCATACAACACATTGTTGAGGGTACATACAGAGCTGATAAAATTCATTTTGAAAAGTAATGACACAAAATCCAAGACAGTTGTCACCTCTGGAGGTGAATACATGCAATATTGGTACTTTTGATTTTTGGACTGGGTGGTAGACTGATTTTATTGCTTTACATATAATTACATTTATATGTGTCAAATATTACATTAAAACAAGATTAAAATGACCCATTCCTATTAAAAATGTTTAAGTCACCTCTGACAGTAGGAAGGTCCATATAACATACCATAGAAATTACCATCTTTATAAAAACCAAATGGGCTGATATTCATGAGGTACATAATAAGTGTTTATTAGAATTAATCTTATGAGGACCAAATGAGATAAAAACTGAGCCAGTTAGCTGTGAGTGGTGAACCAGCAGATTGTCATAATACTAAGGCAGAAGCCAATGTGGGTCCAAGCAAATTTAGCAATAAGCTCAAGTTATAGAGAAGGCAAATATATAAAAGTCTGGTAGCATAAAGTGTTAGCAAGAATGGAAATTGGTACAGCCACTTGGAGAGCATCTGTGATAACCACATGGCTTACTATCAAGGAAACCTATTAGGTGTGCTTCCTGGGAAAATATTCAAGTGTACAAGCAGAAAGGTACAAAGATGTTTATTGTGGGAGTTCTTTGGAGAATAGAAAGCTGGGACCAATTTCAAAGTCCAATAATAAGTAAATGTGTAAATAAATTATGGCATATTCATACAATGGAATTATATACCAGCAATTTAAATTAATGAGTCAGAGACAACACAAGTATCTGATTTATTCATATATAAAAATAAAAATTGATGCTGAGCAAAAAAAAAGTTGCAAAATGGCTTTTTTTTTTTAAAAAAAGAACTATATAAAGTTCTAAACCCAGACCACTACTATAGTGTTTATGGATTCACTGTGATCAAATTAAACAATACACCAGGGAATGATACACATAAACCTACACACAGTAGCTCCCTTTAGGAAAGGAAGGGCATCCCCACTACGTGCAACATTTCATTTAAAATAAAAGGTATGAAGTAATTTGGTAAAACGTGAACATCTGTAAAACCAGAATGATGGATTGGTGCGGTCCACCTCCGTGTTTTGCATGTGAAATAGGCCAGAAAATTTAAAAGGTAAATTAGAAAAAAAAGGGAAATTAGGCAAGAATAAGGAATTGAGCAGATGAACACTGAGAAAAAGATACCCAAAATGCAGCCCTTGAGCGCAGAGCAAGCAGCCCCTGAGCAAGCGTAGTATTTGGGTTCCTAATGGGGTCTGATGTCTGTCCCTGTGTAGTCTTATGATGAACCCTCTTTTCCTTAAATAAAATGCAAATTCCTTGCAATCAAAAATGTCCTAACCAGAACCATAAATGAGGAAATTGTGCCCAAGCGAGGTATGAGGTAATTTCTGTGAAAGCCAAATTAAACGCTGACTAAACAGTTCAGTGTTTTTAAGAACGCTCAGGGTCGACTACAAGGTCGGCCCCCGTTGGTGAGAGCATATATCTTGCGATGCGTCTGGAATTTGAGGAGCCTTTAGCGACTAGGGATGGTCTGGACCCCCACCCCCACCCACCCGTCCCCGCCCCTCCGCACGGGCAGCAGTAGCCCAAATTCACCTTTGATCTCCAGCTCGGTTGGGGTCCCACTACTCTACTCCCGGGACAGGCTGTCACCTAACTCCGCAAAAACGCAGAAGCAGTTGGCCAGGACCGCGCCTGCCCTCCCGGTTCATCTTTGCTGGGGACGTGGGCCCTGGCTCCTTCCTCTGGGAAGGGTCTCACGGGAACAGGTGCGGACTACGTAGGGATCAGACAGGGGAGGACGCTAACACATCCGAGCTGGGGACGCTTCGCTTCGGGCAGGGGTCGCGCTGGCAGAAGGCGGCTGCGGGAGCGCGCGCGCCCAGGAAAGATGCAGTGACCAAAGGGGGGCCACCCACCCCAAGGCCGGAAAGGGCTTGCGCATAGACAAAGGGGGTCGCGTGTCCGCGTGTGGAGTCCCTTACACGCGGAGACGCGGCGCGCGCGGGCAGCAGGGTCTGTGCACACAAAAAGGTACACCCCCGCGCACGCCCAGACCCCGTTGGGGCACCCGGTTGCAGAAGGAAGGTACCAAAGGGGACATACACCCTCAGGGCTCCCCAGTTAACGTAGCCACGCAGCGGGCATCACAGCCAACGCGGACACACCCACACTCACCACACCCCCATGCAGGTACTTGGAAGGCAAAGTACCCCCCACCCCGGGAGACCGGGCTGCAGCGGGACCCGGCGGCCCGCCGCACACCAAAGGTACACTTACCGGGGCCCGCAGTCAGCGAGCCTCGGACCTGAGCAGTAGCCCGTGTCAGCGCTGGCGTCGCTGCTGCAGCCGCCGCAGCGGACTCCACGTCAGCCAGCAGGTAGGCGGGGCCTGGCGGCAGATTTGTCACGTGGGGTGGAAACACACATGCGCAGTTAGGCGCCTGGCCCCTTCCGTCCGCCCGCGAGCGGAGCTCGCTTACTTTCCCCTGGCGTGCGCACGCGTCTTCCCAGCGTGCAGCGCCTAGGGCTGGGGCCGCCGCCGCCGCTCCTCTGCAGTTGCTTCGATTTTTCTCTCGCTCCCCAACAAGCGGCGCTTGCGCAAAGGACTCAGCGCTGAGGTGGCCGAGTTAGCGGGAGGAGCCCAGGTGGGCGCGTGCAGGGCCTTGGTTGAGGGTCCACCCCACCAGCCTCTGACTGAGAAACAACCCCCCCAGAGGGCAGGGTCCAGGCCTGAGGAGACCTTGCGCCTAGGGCGTGAAGGCTCGGACCCACTCACTGCGCTGCCCTGCCCTGCTCTCCCTGCCCACGCAGGCGCAGCTGGCGGGGCTGGAGCTGCGTTTGTGACTCCCCGTTTTCCCACCGTCCCCTCCGCTGCAGGTTGTGTGCGCGCAAGCGTGGGGTGGCCTGTGTTGAGGACGGCAGTTGGCTGTAGTTTCCGCTGACATAAATCCCTGCAGAGCTATGCTCTGCCCATAGCTCAGTAATGATGTTGTGATACACCAGTAGCGAAAGGGCATAAGTCACTGATGGATTGTTGTGTTTCTTTTCCGCAGATTGTCTAAAGCCACAGGGAAGATGGTGGAAAATTCACCGTCGCCATTGCCAGAAAGAGCGATTTATGGCTTTGTTCTTTTCTTAAGCTCCCAATTTGGCTTCAGTAAGTACATTCTTAATGGATGACCAAGAGCTCTCTCTCTTGTTCAAGGACAAGGAAATGTTGCACTTATCTTTAGAATGCATGCACATGAGCTGCGATTCCTTTTAGCAATGTTTCTTTTTAAGAGAACTGGTTGTTCAGGGTGTTTTATATGCCAGACACTGACCTAAGATCATTAGTCTCTACAGGACCAGATAAAATGGCAACGTGAATAAAACCTGGTTCTTAAGGAGGTCAGGGCCTTGTGGACCAGATAGATGGAAAAATCTGCAATGAGTACGCAGTGTGACGAGTGTCGTTTCGTGCTATTCCAATAGACATTGAAATTAAACAGGGAAGTCAGAGTAACCTTGAAATCAGTCTGGGATATCAGCTGCAGGTTAGCTTTCCCCCAGCACTTAAACAGATTATTACAAAAGAGTAAGTGTGAGGGAAGGAAGAGGCATCTGAAGGCCTTGAATGTAGGCATGACCTCATTGAGGAGTGAGGGGGCTGGTGAAGCTGCAATGCAGCATGCAGGAATCGGAAGGTGATGGAAATTAAGCTAGAGAAGTTCAATTGAAAGATATAACCATAAATACTGAATCTCATTTAATCCCAAAATGTCCCGTTGTACAGATGAAACACTAATATGCCCAGTCACACACAAAAAAAACAAACATTCCAGTCAATTCCTACTTAAGTGACACTCTAGGTCCAAAGCTGTAAATCTTTTTTTTTTTTTAAATCATTTTACTGGGGGCTCATACAGCTTATATCACAATACATACATCTATTATGTCAAGCACATTTGTACATTTGTTGCCATCATTTTCAAAACATGTTCTTTCTACTTGAGCCCTTGGTCTCACCTCCTCATTTTTTTCCCCTTACTCCCTCACCCTCCCTCACGAACACTTGATAATGTATAAATTATATTTTTTTTTCATGTCTTACACTGACCAATGTCTCCCTTCACCCACTTTTCTGTTCTCTGTCCCCCAGGGGGGAGGTTATATGTAGATCATTGTGATCGGTTCCCTCTTTCTCCCACCCCCCACTTTCCCCTTCCCCTCCCAGTATCACTACTCTCATTATTGGTACTAAAGGGTTTATCTGTCCTGGATCCCCTATGTTTCCAGTTCTTATCTGTATCCGTGTGCATGCTCTGGTCTAGCAGGATTTATAAGGTAGATTGGGGTGATGATAGTGGGGGGGAGGAAGCATTAAAGAACTAGAGGACAGTTGTATGGAAGCTGATTACTGCATATTTCTCATGGATAAGCTTGTGGATTCAAAATGCCAACCTTTCAGTTAGCAGCTGATCACGAAACCACTGTGCCACCAGGGCTCCTTGCCCAATCAAACCAAGCCAAAATTAAACACATTGCCATCAAATCAAATCAATTCCAACTCAGCCACCTATAGGGCAGGGGATGGTAGAGCCCCTGTGTGTTTCTGAGACTGTAAATCTTTATGGAGCAAAAAGTTTCAAAGGAAGGAGCAGCTGGTAGATTTAAACTACTGACCTTGCAGTTTAGTAGCCCAACTAGTAACCCACTACACCACCAGGGCACCAGTGCCTAGTCATACAGCCGACCCCAAATCTCCACCAAAAGATTTTGGAACTATAAGGGAAACTGAAGGGAGAAAATTGGGTATCTCAACCCACCTGTCTGGAACTCCCTGAAAACCAGAGTGGATGGAAGAAGCTTAGTGAAAAAAACCCTCTTTGCACTGTCAGTACATCATGGAAATGGCCTAGTAGTTGATCTATTGACTAAGGGAGTCTGTGAAGGTTTTGTTACCTGCCAGCACAGAACTAAGCACTGCCTGTCCCTGTGCCATCCCGTGGTCAGTTGTGGATTAGACTTCTGATTCCCAGGTTTCATTGTAACCAAGGTCAAATCCTGATTCCTCCACAGATAAAGCTGTGTGATCCAGGGCCACTGACAACCTCTCTTAGCCTGTAATGAGGAAGGGGAAGGTTGGCAATACTTACTGACTCTGTGGATAGATCAGTGGTTATTGATTTGGCTTTTTCAAGTACTTATAAACCCTGGTGTGTGCAGAACAATCCAGGGAGGTGGTGGTGGTTAGGTGTCATCAGGTTGGTTCCGATTCATAGCAGCCCTCTGGACAGCGCAACGAAATAACGCTTGGTCCTCCACCAGACTTTTCATTGGTTGTTAGGGGCGAGCCCATTGTTGCAGCCACAGCGTCAGTCTGTCTCATTGAGGGTCTTCCCCTTTTTCCCTGCCTTTACCAAGCATGATGTCCTTTCCCAGGGACTGGTCCTCCTGATAACATGTCCAAAATGTGTGAGATCAAGCCGTGACATTCTCACTTTTTGTACTTATTTCAAGACAGATATGTTTATTCTTCTGGCCGTCCACGTATCCATAATTCATATGCATCAGTTCTTCCTCCTTCATTGTCAGCTTTCATATGCATATGAGGTAATAAAAAATTCCATGGCTTGCCTTTCTACTGTCTGTCTGAGAGCCTGTCAAACTGAGCAAGTTCCTGAAACCTGGGAAGGTGGTGCCAGTCCTGGCAGCACGCTATTCAGGACACAAAGCCAGCATCGTGAAGAACATCAACAATGGCACCTCACACTGCCCCTACAGCCATGCCCTGGTGGCTGGAATCGACTGCTATCCCCGCAAAGTGACAATTGCCATGAGCAAGAAGACAATTGCCAAGAGGTCAAAGATGAAGTCTTTTGTGGAGGTGTATAACTATAAACACCTCATGCCCACAAGGTATTCCATAGGCATCCCCTTGGACAAAACTGTTGTCAACAAGGATATCTTCAGAGACCCTGCTCTTAAATGGAAGGGCCGTTGGGAGGCAAAGGTCAAATATGAGGAGAGGTACAAGACAGGCAAAAACATATGGTTCTTCCAGAAACTGAGATTCTAGATCTTACTTGAACCAAAATCATTAAAAACAGCCCCCAAATTTTAAAAAAAGTATATATATATATAATATATATATATATATACATGGTATATATACAGACACACACACCATGGCTTAGGTCAGGCACATCTTAGTCCTCAAAAGTGAAATCTTTACTTTTTAATATTGTAAAAAGGTCTCTCAGATTAGCCCAATGCAATATCATTTGATTTGTTGACTGCTGCTCCTGTGAGCATGGATTGTAGATCCGAACAAAATGAAATCCTGACCAACTTCATTCTTTTCTCGGTTTCTCATAATGTTGCCTGTTGGTCCAGTTCTGCGTGTTTTTTGTTTTCTCTCCATTGTCCTATAGGGTCGCTATGAGTTGGAATCGAGTTGATGGCAATTTTGAGTTTGGTATTAGCAAGGAGCCCTGGCTGCCTAGTGGTTACACACAGGGCTGCTATAACTTCAAGCTTGGCAGTTAAAAACCACCAGCTGCTCTGCGAGAGAAAGACGGGGCTTTCAACTCCCGTAGAGTTAGTCTCAGAAACCCACAGGAGCAGTTATTCCCCGTCTGACAGAGTCACAATAAATCAGAATCGACTTGAAGGCAGCGAGTGTGACTTTAGTTGTTACATTGAGTTGCATTCAGTATTGAAAGCTGCAGTCCTGGATCTTCATCAGCAAGTGCTTCAGCAAGCAAGGTTGTACCATCTGCATATTGCTTGTTATGAGCCTTTTTCTCCAATCTTTTTCTTCTTATAGTCCGATTTCTTGGGTTATTAAGAATTATGAAAAGATACAACCCTAACACTTTTCCTGATTTTAAACCATAAAGTATTTCTTTGTTCTGTTTGCACAACTGCCCCTTGATCCATGTACAGCTTCGACATGAGCACAATGAAGACTTCCCATTCTTCTCAAGGAGATCCATAGTTTGCTATGGTCTACACAGTCAAATGTTTTTACGTAGTCAATAAAACACAAGGTACCATCTTTCTGGTATTCTCTGTGTTCAGCCAACATTCATCTGACCTCAGCATTGATATCCCTTATCCTGCATCCTCTTCTGAATCCAGCTTAAATTTCTGGTAGCTCCCTGTTAATGCACTGCTGCAACTATCATTGAATTATATTTAGCAAAATTTACTTGAATGTGATAAGATTTTTATAATTTCCACAATCTGTTTGATTACCTTTCTTTGGAATGGGCACAAATGTGGATCTCTTTCAATCTCTTGTCCAGGTAGCTGTCTTCCAAATTTCTTGACATAGATGACTGCTTCATCAACTTGTTAAAACATAAGTTCAGTACTATCAATTCTTGATTGTATGCTACGTCTTGAAATGGTTGGATTCCTTTTGGTACTGTGACTCTGTGTATTCCTTCTATTTTTTTATCATTGCTTGCTTTAGCTACTCTGCGTTCAAGAGCAAGTTTCACAGTTTCATCTGACATCTACTTTAGTCTTTTCTTTCTTTTTGATGACCTGCTTTCGTCATATATGATGTTTTTGATGTCATCCTACAACTTGTCTGACCTTCAGTCATTAGTGTCAACTCTATCCTTGAGATGTTCTCAGAATTCGCATAGTCTCAGATAGTCTCCAGGTTGTATTTTGGCTCAACCTGTACTTCCATTTGAGCAGTTGATAGTCTGCCCACACTCAGCCCCTGGCCTTGTTTTGGCTGATGATGGGATCTCCACCTTCTCTTGTCACAGATGTAGTCATTTTGATTCCTGTCGGCTCTAGTTTGAGGAAGCAGCCTTTGCCAGTCATATTCAAGTGTCTTCCAACCTGAGGGGCTCATCTCTGGCACTTTATCAGACAATATTTTGATGCTTTTCCTAAAGGTAATCCCTTTCCTAAGTGCTAATCCTTCAAAAGTGGGTAGCCTTTTTTCTTAATATGGTAGCCCAGTAGAACCCGTTCAGCATGGGTGACCCTGCTGGTATTTGCAATGACAGTGGCATAGCTTCCAGTGTCACAGTAATCAGCAAACCACCACTGTTTGACAAACTGACAGATGAGTAGTGGTCCTGTGAGGTAGATTCTGTTTTGATTCTCCCTTTACAGGTGGAAGTAGTGAAACACACAGGCAGTTTTAAGAAACTTGCCCAAGATCACACTGCAAACTAAAATCAAACCCATTGCTATTTAATCAGTTCTAAAGAGCAAAACTGCCCCATAGGATTTCCAATGCTGTGCTATTTGTGGAAGCAGACTGTCAGAGCTGTATTCCCAGAAACCAATGACTCTTCTAAGCAGTTGAGCGCTTTAATGAATGTGCCACCTGGGCTCCTAAGGTCATACAACCAACTGGACTTTAAACTGGTTTCAGGGTCTGCACTCTTAAACACTTCAATCTCTTAGGGCTGTTGTGAAGATTGATTGGGTAATAATATAAAGCGCTTAAAACAATGCTTGGGGTACAGTAAGTACTGAGTACATACTAGTTCCTAGTGTTGTTATTAACATCATTTTGTAACCTTATTCTGTAGAGTATTTGATGGATTAGAAACCCTATAGAAATACGTAAGTATAAACTATTGAAATAAAAGTATTTTTAAGGCTTAATCTAGTAATACCCCCAAGACTTCCAAACCCACTGTCCTTGAGTCTATTCTGAGTTTAAGCAATCCTATATAATGTTGTTTTTTAAAATAAATCTTGATGGGAGCACTCAGCTTTATCTTACTCCTGAGAACTGGCTGGTGGGTTTGAACCATCAACCTTGCAATTAATAGTCCAACCCTCAACCAATGGCACCACTAGAGCTCCTTAAATCCAAAAATATCTACAGCCAAAAACTAATGCATCAAGTATTTACCAACTGCATATCATGTGCCAGCCACTATTAAAGGTCAGAGAGAACCCAAACAAAAGGTTCCCATTATCACAGCGTTTCCGTTGTAGTAGAGGATGATAGACAAAGAGCAAAACAAATGAGACATGCACAATGTCAGATGCTAACATAGGAAGAAACTGAATACAAAGGGTAAAACTTGCAAAGAGGTTTCTGTTTATGTATTTAAGAGTGGTGTAGCAACTTTGAAAAAGTCTTATTGTGAATTAGGTGAAGACTTCCAGTTCTTACATTCAGCGATTCATCCATCTTCTGATTCACCCTCCACTACAATCCCCTCAGTATGCCATCACTTATCCCACTTCCTCCCTGGTTTCCTGTTTCCATTCCTCCTCCTTTCCCAACCCTCCGAACTTGGTCCTTAGGTAAGTGTCACCCTTTTTATCTTCAATGGTTGATTATTCTAATGCAGAGATTAGTTCCGTTCCAGATCGAAAGGGTAAGGGCCATAAGCCTTGGGGGTCCCTCCAGTCTCTAGTCAATTAGTAAACCTGGTCTCTTTTGTAATTTTGAGTTCTAAAATTTTCCCCGTTCCCTCGGGCTTCCTAAGGTGATCCTTTTCTGAGCAGTTGGTAGTGAATGGTAGCCGTGCACCATCTAGTTCGTTTGGTCTCAGGGTTGTCCATTTGTCTGGAGTAACTGTTTCTGTGAGTCTTGATTTCCATCACTTTTCTTTCCTACGGACAGAGAAGTACCAGTAGTTACACCCTGGATGGCTGTTGGCAAGCATGTAAAACCCCAGACACTACTCACCAAAGTAGGATGAGAAACACTTGTCTTTTCTTTTTTTTATCGTTTTATTAGGGGCTCATACAACTCTTAACACAATCCATACATACATCAATTGTGTAAAGCACATTTGTACATTCATTGCCCTCATCATTCTCAAAACATTTCCTCTCCACTTAAGCCCCTGACATTAGGTCCTCATTTTTCCCCTCCCTCCCCGCTCTCCCCTCCCTCATGAGCCCCTGATAATTTATAAATTATTATTTTGTCATATCTTTCCCTGTCCGACACTTCCTTTCACCCACTTTTCTGTTGTCTGTCCCCCAGGGAGGAGGTCACATATAGTTCCTTGTAATTGGTTCCCTCTTTCCAACCCACTCTCCCTCTACCCTTCCAGTATCGCCACTCACACCACTGGTCCTGAAGGGATCATCCGCCCTGGATTCCCTGTGGAGAAACACTGTCTTTATGGACTTTGATACACCAATTGACTCATTCCCCCAAGGGGTTTGGTTATATCTAAAATGCTCTACCACATTCATGGATATATTTGCAACAAATGTAAATACACATATATGAATATTCTTTGCTATACCTATATATATTTGTACATGTACTTCTTTTCTCTCTCCTGCCTATTCAGCCTATGTGTCTTATCCAAACATCTACTTGTAGATCTCTACTGCACAACCTTATTTTACATAATATAAGGAAGTATACATTTTGATACCTCTTTAACCCTTTCATAACTGGTGAAACATGTACATCCCACCAACATTTTCAGGCTCTCCGGTTTCTTGGGAAACTTCCATCCCAGTTGTAGGAGATACTCCTACCTGATAGAGACCTATATAACTGAATTAAAAAAATGGGCCTCATCCTAATTCTCCTGCCAGAATACACTTGTGACTTAAGTGCCCCTGATAATCATCAAAATCCCTATTGCCTCAATAATCATAAGTTGCTATTTTAAATAGAGGAATAAGTTCCTTACTGAGAGATAATTAATGACTACTCACTGCCAACAAGCCAATTCCAACTCACAGTAACCTTATAGTACAGGATATAGCTGCCCTGCGGATCTCTGAGACTTACTCTTTATGGGAGTAGAAAGCCTTGTCTTTCTCCCATGGAGCGGCTGATGGTTTTTAACTGCTGACCTTGTAGTTAGCAGCCCAGTGTGTAACCACTATGCCACTGGGATTCCCTGAGATACTAGATTTGAACAAAGGCATGAAAAGTGAGGGGTTTATCTAGGTGGTTCTTTGGAGAAAGACTGAAACAGCCAGTGCAGAAGCTCAGAAAGGAGCATGCATTTGAGTTCAAGGAGTAGCAAGGAGCCTGAGGCAGGAAATAACAGAATTAAGGAGGTCAGAGGCCAGTGCTGGGCAGTTATGATAAAACTAGGTATTGGGTTGATAGGTACAAGAGGATCCCATGAAGGAGCTTTGAGAAATTCATGGGAAAATGTAATAGCAGAGGGATTGCATTTTCCATGAACTCTCTGAAGCTGTCTCATAGATGGACATATTTACCTATTTGAAAACAAACAAGGTAATGATAGATTGTGATGGTAGCTTTTAAGTAAATAAAGGGAAGTGATAGCAAAGTGGGGTGTGCATGAGGCAGATGGAGGCGGGGGTTGCCTCATGAACAGGGAAAACCTCAGATGGTGAAGGAACCAACCGTTGAAGAGAACAGATAGGTCCAGGTAGTCAGCACTTCAACTGCCCTTCAGTGGCCAGGAGTGGGAAGGTGGTATGAAGAACAGAAAGTATACCTCTGTGGCTGGAGCATAGTAAGGAAGGTTAGGAATGTTATTGGAGAGGTAGGTCTTTATAAGCCCTGGTAAGGAGCTTGTGTTTTTTGGTTTGTTTGTTTTTCAAATCATTTTATTAGGGGCTCATACAGCTCTTATCACAATCCATACATACATCAATTGTGTAAAGCGCATTTGTACATTCATTACCCTCATCATTCTCAAAACATTTGCTCTCCACTTTAGCCCCTGGTATCAGCTCATTTTTCCCCCTCCCTCTCCACTCCCCCCTCCTTCATGAACCCTTTATAATTTACAAATTAGTATTTTGTCATATTTTGCACTGTCCAACATCTCCCTTCACCCATTTTCTGTTGTCCTTCCCCCAGGGAGGAGGTTATATGTAGATCCTTGTAATCGGTTCCCCCTTTCCAAACCACCCTCCCTCCACCCTCCTGGTATCACCACTCTCACCACTGGTCCTGAAGGGATCATCCACCCTGGATTCCCTGTGTTTCCAGTTCCTATCTGTACCAGTGTACATCCTCTGGTCTAGCCAGACTTGTAAGGTAGAATTGGGATCATGATAGTGGGGGTAAGAGGGGGAGCATTTAAGAACTAGAGGAAAGTTGTATGTTTCATCGTTGCTACATTGCACCCTGACTAGCTTGTCTCCTCCCCACAACCCTTCCTTAAGGGGATGTCCAATTGCCTACAGATGGGTCTTGGGTCCCCAATCTGCACACCCCCTCATTCACAATGATAATGAATTTTTGTTCTTTGATGCCTGATACTTGATCCTTTTGACACCTCGTGATCACACAGGCTGGTGTGCTTCTTCCACATGGGCTTTGTTGCTTCTGAGCTACATGGCCGCTTGTTTACCTTCAAGCCTTTAAGACTCCAGACACTCTACCTTTTGATAGCTGGGCACCATCAGCTTTCTTCACCACATTTGCTCATGCACCCGCTTTGTCTTCAGCGATTGTGTCGGGAAGGTGAGCAACATAGAATGCCAGCTTAATAGAAAAAAAATATTTTTGCATTGAGGGAGTACTTAAGTGGAGGCCCAATGCCCATCTGCTACCTTAATACTAAAACTATAAATATATGCACATAGATCTATTTCCCCATCCTCATATATAAACATATTTACATAAGTACATGCCTGTATAATGCCCTTTGCCTCCAAGCTCTTTCCTCTGTTTTCCTTGATTTTCCTCTTGCCCCACTCTCATGCTCAGTCTTCATTTGGGTTTTAGTAATTCCTCTTGGTTACATTACCCTTGATCATGCCCTACCAGGCCTCCTACACCCTCCTCACCACCGATTTGGATCACTTGTTGTTCCCTTGTCCCTGGGTTTATTAACACCACTTCCTTTCCCCCTACTTCCCCCTCTCTCATGTCCCCCTGGAACTGTCGGTCCCATTGTTTTCTCCTCCAGATTGTTCATCCAGCCTATTTAGACAGACCTGCAGAAATAATAACATGCACAAAAACAAGACAGAGCAAAATCAACCAACAAAATAAAATAAAACAAAACAACAACAATGACACCAACAAACCAATGACTAAAAAAGCAAAACAAAACAAGAAAGAAAAGCTTGTAGTTAGTTTAAGGACTGCTTGTTGGCCTTTGGGAGTGTTTTCCAGTCAAGTCTGGCCCCAAAGTCTATTTTTGGTGTTCCCTGGGGACTTCGTTGCTCTGTTCCCCTTGCTGTTCTGTTGCACACCCTTAGTGTTTTGCCTCGGTGTGGTGGGATCAGATTGGGCGGAATTCCCACACTGTGTCTCCAGTGTTGTCCCCTGTAGGGGTATGGGTCAGTGAGAGATGTCGTGTCTCATAGTGGGCCCGGCCATGTGGTCTTCTCTGTGGATTGGCTGCTTTGAGCGGGAAACCTCTTCCTCAAGGCTTGGTGGGCTAGGATGTGCTCTCTCTCTCTTCCTCCCCCTTCATTTGCTCCCGTGTGAGGAGCTTGTGTTTTATCCTTAGGATATTAAAGGTTTGAACAGGCAAGTGATAAGGTTCAGTTACTATTTTTGGAAGGTATTCAGTGCTATTTGGAGAATAACTTCTCAAACATTCTCATTGGTGTTGAAATTGCTAATCACATAGTCTGAACACAGCTAGGTATCATTCTTCACTTGTCCTTTGCCTTCTCCCCCTAATTCATTCCCTCACTGAGTCTACTGCCTCTGATTTTATCACCATCAAATGCATCCTCTACACAGCCACCAGAGCAAACGCAAACCTGAACGTGCCTGCTTAAAATTTCTTTGACTGGAGTGTAAATATTATTTCAATGTCTGCGGTTTCTATTATATACACACACATATATATACATATACAGATATATTTTTAAGTTTGTGTTCCTTATACAGAATCTCTCGTGGTCTAGGACTTGCCCACTCCACTAGCTTATCTCATCACTCACAACCATATCGGTGCGGTCAGCTCGGGTGTCATCTGCAGGAAGCCTGCCCTGATCTCTTCAGTTGGTGTTAGGTCCCTTTCCTCACTCCTTCAGTACCGTACTCCAGTTTGCAAAGGGTGCTTTGGATGGGATTCACATTTGCAGCTCAGTAGGCTTTAATTTAAGATTTTGAGCAAGTTACTTACCATCCCCAACCTCCATTTTCTTTCATCTGTGAATTAGATATAATAATAGCTCCCACCTCGAAAGGATTTTGAAAACCAAAGAAAACCCAAACTCACTGCCAGCCAGTTGATGCCAGCTCAGAGGTTTTGAGAGGCTTTAGTAAGATTCTACATGTGGGGTTCTTGCCTCGACATTTGGCTGGTGTCACTCTCCCACCCTAGTTTGTGACTTCCTGGATATAGTGACCGAGTCTTTTTTTCTCTCTGGAGTTGGCCTCTCCAGAGTGCCTGGCCCATGATAAACATTCAATAAATGCTGTTTGTTTAATTAATTAAACTAAACAAGTCATTTCCACTTACAGACTATGCTCACGTTGTTTCCCTACAGTTACTTTGCATTAACTTTCAAAGCCGTGTTTTAAGTTCCCCACCAGTTCCGCACCACCCTTTCTCTTGGCTCCTACCGTGTAGTCACACCACGTCTCCCTTCATATTCCTCTTGTTCTCTCTCTGGGTCATGGCAGGAAGCATCATTTCCACGTAGTTCCTCCCACTCTTCTACAGGCTCCTTAACCACAAATACTTTAGATCTCTCTTATACTGCCTACTTAGTTTGATCATGTTCCACCTCCACCTGTCTGCGTTCTTTTTTGTTCCCATGTCATCTTATATCACGCAGTCATCAGCATTTACCACAGCATGATGAAACATCAATTTGCTCCACTCTATGCTCCACTGGATTGTAAGCTCAGGGAGGGCAGGGCTCATCTCTTTCACATTTGTTATTGTATATCACACTCCAGATACAGAGTTCTGTAATCCATATTTCTCAAGAAAAAAGTTATCAGCTCTTCACCATGATTGATTTAAGTAGTTTGAAATGTGAATTTGCCATTTCCCGTGGGCAGACTATGTAACCTAAGATTTCAGTCCCTCATTTGTAAAAATGGTATACATGTACTTCCTAGGGTTATTTTGAGGGTTAAAGGAAATCATGTATGTTAAATACATATTATTGTGCCTAGCCTGAAGTGAGTGTTCAGGTGTTATCAGTTAGTATTGCCTAGGGATAACTGTGAAGGGTCCCACCGAGTGCTAGGATTAAAGGACATAAGATAGTAAGTAGCCTGTGAGATAACAATGGGGACTCAGCATTTGTAGTATAGGAGCAAGGGAAGATAAAGTCATCTTAGAGCAACCCATAATTAGAGAATGCCATAATTACGCCCACCTCTCAGAGGATGGGTACCTAAAACAAATTGTTAGGTATTATAAGGATTACAGCAACTGATAAGGCATGGCTTACATTGCCTAAAATATTATGTGAGCATTAATAGCTCTTTAAAGAACAACTGTAATAGAAGGTAATGATGGTAAGTATTTTAAGTAGAGTTGGCCAGAAAAGAGGAAGACCCTTAACTTGATGGGTTGACACAGTGGCTGCAACTGTGGGGATGCAACAATTGTGAGGATGGTGCAGGACAGAGCTGTATTTTTCCTGTTGAACATCCAATCATTATGAGTCAGAACCAACTTGACGGCACTTAACAACATGGTACATTATAAGTGACACAAATAGAGCTAGAAGAACTGAAAGGAAGGAAAAATCATTTCTAAGCGAACGAGAAACAGCTTTATAAGACACTGAATCTTGATAGGTTGACTGTATGCCTTATTAACATTCCTCTTTCTCTCCTTTTTACAGTGCTGTACCTTGTATGGGCTTTTATTCCAGAATCTTGGCTAAATTCCATAGGTTTAACCTACTGGCCGCAAAAGTAAGTTTAATATGTTTCTTAAGTAAAATATTCTAAGTCTTAAATGTTTTCCTCTTTCGATATAGTAATGGCAATATAAAAATTGCAAACTTTTTAACATCATTATTGCTAAACCTGTTGAGGTGGTCATTTGAGCACATATGTTTATCTCCATTTCCTCCCCCTCCCCGCACATCTCACTAAATAACTCAACAAGGGTAGAAAAATTGAGAACATAGAAACCCACAGGAGTCAAGGAAGTGAAGAGTAAGCAGATAGCGGTAGCTGCCCTAGTCTTCACATATTCTAGAATGGTGACAGTGAGAACCCCATGAGAATATTTGTATTCTAGCACTGGGAAAGACCAAGCCGCTGGAGGTAGCAGATACTTTTTAGCATGGTATTTCTGGATTGGGCTGGAAACAGTGTTTAAGGAGCAGTTAGACCCTTAGACTCGCCCCTGCCCACTCCCAGCCTTGAAAGCTGGGAGACTAGCCCTCCCCTGTCCTGGAATAAGACAGGAGTATTTCCTCTTTGCAGGAACTGAAAGAGGGGCTCTAACCTGGAAAACACTAGGTCTAACTGAACAAGGAAATAAGACACCAAATTGAAAACTGACTGAGTCAAAGCATGCATTGCTGAATGAGATGATTGCCCAGCACCTTTCCTTACTAGGTCCCTAGACTTGCAGTTGCCAAGTTTACACTACCCTGCTCCTCTCAGCAAAAGATTGGCAGTTTCTCCCTGAGGAAGGTGAGGAACTCAAAAGAAAGCGTTCGTATTTCTTGCATGTGCAGATCCTCTAATGAAATATCCTGTTTGCTTATAATGAGCCTCACTCTCTGCCCTGCCCCCAAGCTACACACACACACACACACACACACACACACACACACGTGCACGCACACATCACCCCCACCCTCACCCCTTCCAATTAGCTTGTCAGCACTTCAAATTTAAATTTGGGTCGACAGCCGTTACACCCCAGGCATCAGAGGAAAGAGCCTCGAGCATGAAAGGTGAAGGACAAAGGCCTGCATGGAGGCCACAGAGGAAGCAAAGTAACTAAAAGACAGTTTAACTGTAAAACAAAAACAGGCTGCCATTAAAAAATCCAGAACACTGGAAAATAAAGGGAAGGTCACCAACAAATAACCACGAATCAGAATGACTCTGAAGAGCAACATTGGATGATAAAAGACAAGAGAGGAAACGTCTGCAGCCTATATTTCTGTGCCAGGAGCCTTGGTGGTGTAGGGGTTATGAGTTTTGCTACACTGTCAGTCAAGAATGAAGGAAACACCTAGCACCTGGTCATAGTTTTCTACATACCATTCTCCCATTAGAAGAGCCAAAGGTCCTTGGAGAAAGGGCTAGTTCAAGGCCTACAGCCAAAAAAACAATTTCATTGCCATCCAGTCATAGCAACCCTATCGGGCTGAGTAAATGTGACCTGTGAGTTTCCAAAGCTTAATGGGAGGTGGAAGCCCCATCTTTCTCCCTGTGGAGGGCTGGTGCATGTAACCTGCCTACCTTATGGTTGGCATCCCCATGGCCTAGGGCAGGGAAAACACCAGAGGAGCCAGAAACATATTCTGGAGCCACAAGGAAAAGAAGTGGCCCCCACTCTTCCAAGAACGAAAAGACTGGAGCATGTCAAAAGACAGGAACCAACCTGATAGACCTTCTGATAACCAAAGATGAGACCATTTGAGCAACAAAATAAATGACTGTAGAAGTAGAATATAACCCAAAGAATAAATATTTATGAAGCCGTGTTGATATAAATAAGCGCATGAGTAGATAAAAAGGTCAAATTTTCGTTACAGGGGAATTACAACTGATAAATGTAGAAAGGATGAGAACAATAGAAAAATCACCAATAAAACAAAATACCACTGTCACAATGGCTTCAAACAAGATCCACTAATGACTTGATGGGTAAAACTTTTAAGACTAGACATAACAGGGTGGGGAGGAAGGGATTAAAAAGAGGAGTTGATATCAAGGGCTCAATAGAAAGTAAATGTCTAGAAAAGAATGAAGGCAACATATGTAAAACATGCCTGATGCAGTCGATGTATGGATTGCAACAAGAGTTCTAAGAGCCCCCAATAAAATGATCTTTTAATTTAAAAAAATTTTTAAGAGAATAGACACAACAATTTTAAGAATAGACATAATAATTACCTGGCCCCAAAATTATTTCCCACAAAATCTTTTAAACTGATCATTTTAACGCATCTTCGTACAATGTCGGTGATTTTCTACTAAATTCTCTACTATTGTAGACTTGATTCTGGCTCAACAACACTGTAGGACAGAGTAGCATTCCTCCACAGGCTTTCTAAGACTGAAAAGTTTGACTGGAGCAGACAGCTCTATGACAGCTTACCACTGCACCACCGCCCTTGGTAGAGGTGTGCCTAAATTCCCGTGAGAGTACTCTTGACTTGTTAACTTGCTTCTAACAAAAGGAAAGGGGAAAATTAATAACCTTACAATAGAGAAACCAGGCAGACACTACCTTAACCAAGTGATGTAGCTTAGGTTGTTATTAATTAGTCAGTGATAAGTCACACAGTGTAATATGGTGAGGTATTCTGAGGTTTTCACACCCATAATCCTCCTGTAATCATGAGAAAACCCGAGACACACCCAAATTGAATTTGGATCATTCTGCAAAACCCCTGAGCAGTATGCGATGGTCATCAAAGACCAGGAAAGTCTGAGAAATTAACTGTGGGAGGTTAGAGGGAACTGAGGAAACAGGAAGTGCCACCCACGGCTTATCCCAAATTGGTTCTGGAAGAGGAAAATGACACGGATGAAATCGGAATGACGTCAGTACCGAAGCAAACTCACTTTTGACTTCAAGGGAAAGTTAATTTTACATTTGAAGTATGTACCAGAGATCAGAGAGATGTCAACACTCAGGGAAGCTGAGCGAAGGCTGTGCAGTCAGCGGTCTCGGTGCTGCCACTGCAACGCTCCCCAATTCCAAAATGAAGGGCTGTGCCCAACACAGCATGGCAAGATGGAGCACTGCACAAGCCCCGTCAGCCACCCCAAGGCTCGAGTCTTGGACTGAGGTGCAGGGGAAACCGAGCAAATTGGCAAAAGAGTATAATGACTCATTACAAGAAAAACAAAGCAAAATTGTGCAAATAGTTAACATTTTATTAACATTGCAGTGTTCCATTACGTTGTTTACATAGGCACAGTAAGTCTAAGAAACTGCTGATAGAACCAAAAATAGAGATGTAAGTAGAGTCAGAAGATAAGAGGGATGTGAGAGGGCAGAGCTTAAAAGAGCTAACTCCCTCATCTCATATTCGAACAGCAAGTGAAAATGTCTGAAATTTTTTAACTCAGTAAATGACGGTAGAAACCAGTTTGTAGAAATGAGGTAAATCTATGAAGAAATAGCTAAGGTGGTGAAAGTGTTTGCTTTTAGGGCGTGAGATGCCAGGAGAGGGATGGATGGATTACAGGACTACAATTTTTCACTATAAGCTTTGTGGAATGATCTGTTACTTTCATAAAAATTCATTTTAATTTAAAAAAATAGAATGTTAACCTAGTGACTAAATCTTGAGAATTATAACTTTTCAGGGTATCTTTTACCTGCTACGAATTCCTGGTTATGTATGAGTTATGTGTTGGACTGGTAACCCACAAGATAAATAGTTCAAACCCACTAGTTGCTCAGCAGGAGAAAAGTGAGGCTGTCAGTGCCTATAAAGATTAACCATTTCGGAAACACTGGGGAGCCATTTGTGGAGTGCTCTATTTTGCCATGCTCTATTGAACTCAGGACGATACCCTGCACTATGGGTCAGTGCCGAGCAATGACACCTGATAACAGGGAGCCATTCTACTCTGCCCTTTAGAGTTCTTCAGGCCAGCTTTCAGGGGTCTATTACCTACTATAATTCTCTCTTCTGCAGATACTGGGCAGTCGCATTACCGGTATACCTCCTTATTACAATAGTAATTGGGTATGTCCTCTTATTTGGCATTAACATGATGAGCACCTCTCCGCTGGACTCCATTCACACAATCACAGGTAAGCGTGCATAAGGGGAAGTGCTAAATGGAAGATTAGTGCTTTTATTAAGAAACACAACCACAAACAGCCTGTCGTAGTGACACTCATTGGCACGGGAACAAGAATCTAGGAGGAGTAAACACAAAGTTGCGTAAGATGACATGATTACATGGGAGAAGTACGAGCTGATGAGCACTAGAGAACAGTGTATTTTTCCGTAAAAATAGTAAGGATATGATATGTCCCTTCACAACTGGCCTGAGAGAAACTCCTTGCATCCTACGCAGGCACTGTTCATCTGGGAAGTGAAGGGTGGGGGGTGACCAACAAGGATTTGCAGACCTTGTTTGGGAGAAGGGATGTGGGGGAAGGAGGGAGGTTCAAATCCTCCTCGGGATCACTGTTCACCCCTTATCCCAACTACGTGGCTTGAAGAGCCATGGAGGACTTTTGTAGTTTTATTTATAAGTTCTTTTATTGCAGATTGAAAGATTAAGGTAAGTTAGATTCTGAGCTTGCATAGATTCTACAATGTAAAGTATTAACACTCCTGGGTTAGTGTGTGTGTGTGTGTTTGTGTGTGTGTGTGTGTGTGTGTGTGTGATTGTGCAGTGTATTTTGAAAATCGTACTTTAATTTTTCTCCCAAAACCTTTCTGTAATATCAACATTATTTTACTCGAATTACAACAAATAAATAATTTGCTTAGAGGGAAGATGGTTCAATTTGCATGAATGGCAGTACCAAACAATTTAATAGTTTGTGAGGTGGTAATGTAAATAGTTTCAAAACCTGCTTATATTTCTGTTCCTCAGAAATGTGACTACAGGACTAGAATCATCATTTTGCAGTTAATAAAATATTCATTTCTTTTTCAAATAAAACCTACTTTGCTGATTACATTTTTGATTGGGACATTCTTTTTTTTTTTCAGGAGTCCTTAACAGCTCTTATCACAATCTATACATACATCCATTGTGTCAAGCACATTTGTGCATATGTTGTCATCATCATTTTCAAAACATTTTCTTTCTACTTGAGCCCTTGGTATCAGCTCATTTCCCCCCCTCCTCTTCCCTCCCTTCCTCATGATCCCTTGATAATTTATAAATTATTATTTTCATATCTTAAACTGACCACTGTCTCCCTTCACCCACTTTTCTGTTGTCCGTCCCCAGGGGGCGGTGAGGGGAGGGTATTATATGTCGGCCACTGTGATCGGTTCCCCCATTCTCCATCCAGCCTTCCCATTCCCCTCCTGGTATTGCTACTCTCATTATTGGTCCTGAGGGATTTATCTGTCCTGGATTCCCATGTTGTGAGCTCTTTCCTGTACCAGTGTACGTGCTCTGGTCTAGCCTGATTTGTAAGGTAGAATTAGGGTCATGACAATGGGGAGTGGCATTAAAGAACTAGAAGAAAGTTGTGTGTTTAGTCGGGGCTATACCCCACCCTTACTGGCTCATCTCTTCTTTGTGGCCCTTCTGTAATGGGATGTAGGACATTCCTTCTAAAAAGAGATTTAAAGATTCATTTAGATATGTTAAATATGATCTTTGTCTTTCTCCAAACATTAGCCTAGTAAACTGTAGAAGAAATTGTCTAAGCTTTTTATCCTGTTCTTGCAGATAGCTATGCTAAAAACCAACAGCAGAAGAAGTACCAGGAAGAAGCCATTCCAGCATTAAGAGATATTTCTATTAGTGAAGTAAATCATATGTTCTTCCTTGCAGCCAAAGAACTTTATACCAAAAATTGAACCATATGAAAACATACTAACACCAAGTTTTAATAAATTTTTGACATCATAGCCTTGACTATTATTTTTATTGTCTGTCTTTTTAATACCCAGTATTAATTAAAAGTAAATTGAACTTCTCTTAGGCTTTTTTAGTTTCATTTATATCTGTAAATGTTCTCAAATATTAGTTATTATTGAATAGAATAAAAGCTGCATCTTCATTCGACATATTTTTAATAAAATACCAGTATAAGCAAGGTATCCCTCCCTCTGTTTTAGAATTCAAACACTCAGATGTAGAGGAAGATACATTTAATATTTATGTCCTTGACATAGGTTCATGTTTAAAGACACAAATAGTTACTTACCGAGTATTTACTTGTGCCATTTATTGCTCTATGGGGATGCTATAATGACAAGATTCTCTCAAAGAGCTTTTATTTTAGAAGCACATTGAGACAGACTATGCAAATAAGCAAACAAACCAAAAAACAGTAGTTATAATGAGTGCTATGCATAGAATTCAGCTATTATAATGTCCTACATTGACTACTTAATGTTGGTTAAGGAAGGCCTCTCAGGGAGAGGTAGTTTGGGCTGAGATTTGATTCCAAAAAGAAGAAGTAGTCATAAAAGATGGGAAGGTTAGGGTAAACTTCCAGGTATGAAGCAGTTCGCCAAAGACCTGGAGGTGAGAAGGAGCTTGGTGTGCTTCAGAACAGAGAGATGGTTAGTAGTAGGCCTAGTGCATCCCACGTGAGCAGGGATGAGCCTACAGAAGCTTGGTATGCCAGTCAAGAAAGTTTGGATTTAAGTGTAAATGTGATGAGCTGGAAGTATTTTAAGTAAGAAGCTGATGAAAGGCTTTAAACAAAGAGTGGCATGGTCTGATTTGTTTTTAAAGGGGCAGTCTGCTGGTTGGAGAATGAATTATGGGCAAAGGTTGAGAATAGCGTATAGAGGAAATAAGGGTGTCAATTAGAGAGGAGGCTACTGTGTTAGTTCAGACAAAAAATGGCTGCAGTTTAGACCAGAGCCTCAGCTTATCCCACAGCATTACAAAGTCAAAGGTTCAAACCCACCAGATGCTCATTGGAAGAAAAATCCAGCTGTTTCCATAAAGATTTTCCGTTTGGGAAACTGAATAGTGTCATGGGTTAGAATCAACTCAATAGAAGTGGAGATATATACACACAAACATCAGGGAGCTTCAGAGAGTTTGTCAGACAATGGAACTTGTCCAAGGACTTTTTGAAGCCCCCTTTTATATACATGAATAACAGATATAGACGACAGTAACAAAAATATTGCTACTAGGATTCCAGTTCTTATGTGTACAAGTTTATTCTAAACAAGAGGTAGCATATGAGCAAGAACCAATGGTACTGAAGAAGTCCAAGCTGCACTGAAGGAATTTGCCAAAACCACTGCTCCAGGAATACCAATTGAAATGTTTCAACAAGTTGATGAAGCACTGGAAGCATTCACTCACTGATCTATGTGAGGAAATTTGGAAGATAGCTACTTCCAACTGACTGGAAGAAATCCACATTTGGTTTCATTCCAAAGAAAGGTAACCCAACAGAGTGCTAAAACTATATAGAATAATATCACTGATACCACATGAAAATAAAGTTTTGCTGAAGATCACCCAACAATGGTTACAACAGTACATATACAGGGAGCTGCCAGAAATTCAGGCCAGATTCAGAAAAGGACATGGGACAAGGGATATCATTGCTGATGGATCATGGCTAAAAGCAGAATACCAGAAAGATGTTTACTTGTGTTGTATTGACTACAATACAAGGCATTCAACTGTATGGATCATAACAAACTATAAGCCTTGAGAAGAACGGGAATTCCAGAACACTTCATTGTGCTCATCCCGAACCTGGACAATAGATCAAGAGACAGTTGTGGGAACAGAATAAGGGAAAGCTACATGGTTTAAAATCAGGAAATGCGTGCTTCAGGACTGTCTCCTCTCACCATATCTATTCGATCTGTCTGCTGAGCAAATAATCAGAGAAACTGGATTATATGAAGAAGAATGTGGCATCAGGATTGGAGGGAGATTTATTAACCTGAAATATGCAGATAATACAACCTTATTTACTGAAAGTGAGGAGGATTTGAAGCACTTGCTGATGAAGATCAAGGATTGCAGCCTTTAGCATGCAATACAATGTAAAGAAAAGCCAAAACATCATGATAACATCATGGTAAATGGAGAACAGGTTGAAGTTGCCAAGGATTTTGTCTTGCTTTGATCCACAATTCTCCAGGAAGCAGCAGTCAAAAGACCAAATGACACATTGCATTGAGTAAATCTACTGTACAAAACCTCTTTAAAGTGTTGAAAAGTAAGGATGTTACTTTGAGGACAAAGGTACACCTGACCCAGCCATGGTTTTCTCCTTTGCCTCAGATGCATGTGAAAGCTAGGCATTGAACAAGGAAAAGAAGAATCTATGTGTTTGAATTGTGATGCTGGAGAAGAAAGTACCATGTACTACTAAAAGGACACACCGACCTGTGTTGCAAGAAATAAGGCCAGAGTGCTCCTCAGAGGCAAAGATGACAAGCCTTTGTCTTAGGTACTTTGGACATGTTGTCAGGAGAGACGAGGCACAGGAGGACATAGTGTTTGGTGAAGTGGAGGGGCAGCGGAGGAGGGGAGGGCCCTCAAAAAGATGGATTGACATCATGACTTCCTCAGTGGGCTTCAGGCATAGGAAAAGTTGTGAGGATGGCGCAGAACCATGCAGTGTTTCATTCTGTCACTATGAGTCAGAGTGGACTCAATGGCACCTCACAACAATAACAAGTTTTGTTAAGGTGCCTTCAAAAAAAAAAGGTCTCATCAAAACTAGCTCCTGAAAGGATCGAATGGGCCGGGCAAGGCCTGAGTCAACTGAGACAATGGCAAATGCTTTAGAAATACTAAAGAGGTCATCTTGGTAGATGTTTTCCCAAAGGACACACACAAGATAATTACAAGGGTAAGTCTGAAGAAGATTCCAAACTGTAGTGGTGGGAAAAGGCCAGGAAAGTTATGTGACAAATTTTTCTCCATCAAAACAATGCACCTGTTCACTCTTCAAACACTACGAGGGCTATCCTATGAGATATTGTTGGGAAACCTCATCCCATTTACCCTACAGCCTTGAACTTACTCCTTCAGACTTCTTTTTATTCCCCAAACTCAAAGAGCATTGGAAATGAACATGATTTGTCTCCCCTGTGGATGCCAAAGCTGCCATTTCAACATCATGTAAATCAAAGAGCATTGATTTTTTTTGGGGGGGGCAGGGGGAGGGTGGGTGGAGGAGGCACTTGAGAGATGGAAATGCATATTTCAAAAGTGTATGGGCTATATGGAAGATATAGGGGAGAAAAAGTAACTTCAAATTTTGATACTTTTGGTAAGGTTTTCTATAGTTCTGTAGCGGTACTTTTTTTTTTTTCTGGTTCATGGAGACCTGTGTGCTTTGGAGAACAAAGCACCAAGGTTTTTTGTGGAGTTTTTTGGTGTGTTTTTTTAATCATTTTATTAGGGGCTCATACAACTCTTATCACAATCCATACATACATCAATTGTGTAAAGCACATTTGTACATTCATTGCCCTCATCATTCGCAAAACATTTCCTCTCCACTTAAGGCCCTGGCATTAGGTCCTCATTTTCCCCCTCCCTCCCTGTAGCGGTACTTTTAGACTTAACCTTGGGCATGTAGATAGGTATGTATAGCTATATGTATATCTATATGTAGATATACTCCTGGGCCTCACCCTGAGAAGTTTTAGTTCTCTGGGTTGGGGCCCTAACTCACTGCCATTGAATAGATTCTGATTGGTAGCAATCCTAAAGGATGGGGCCCCGGCATGGGTAATTTTTTGTTTGTTTGTTTCAAGATTTCTTTATTCACCTCAAACAAGGTGAAGTAATTTCTTAATGTTTTCCAGATACTTACAATTTCCAACCAAGATTGTGAACTATGACTTTTAACTACTCATTAGACTTATCTCAGGGAAGTGGTCATTCACTGTGAAGAGAAGGCCAGCAGTTGTCCACATAATCCTCTTCCCAGCTTTGTGAGACCCTGCTGAGCTAGTGTTGTGTGGAGTGTATCTAATTGATCTTTTTGGAGAGAGAAAGGAACCGATGGAACCACAGATGGGGGATGAGAGATGCCATGCTACATGAAGATGACCAAGGAGTAAGAACCATAACCTTCAATTAAAAGAAAGTTTGCCTATAAAGCCGATACCCTGAATTCAGACTTCAATCATATTTGAGGGTGGAGCCGGAAATTCCTCAAGAAGTTGCTCCCTAGACCCTCATTAAAATGGATATCACTCCTGAAGCAGACTGATTTCACACAAAATGTCTTATATAGTCCATTTGATCAATCAGTAGGACACAAAGATATCATGTTACTCACCGTATATCCACAGCATGTAGAAGACTAAAATAGATGGGATTCCTGCATAAGTGTCTCAGAATGCAGTGCATTTTAGAACCCGAGACCTGATGTGCTTGATATACTTGACAGTGCAGACTTGATGGAATGTGAGGAGAGATTGTTTTATATTTGTCCTGCCAGAATAGCAGTTGGGCTGCGGTAGTTGCTAGGGTTCTCAGTCGTCGCGTTAACTCAGTTGAGCTAACTGATATTACTCACTGCTTCAGAAAATGTAAAAATTTACTTGTCCCATCTTTTAAAATAATAGAAGTTTGAGTCATTCCACTGGAAAAAAGCCCACCTAAAATGTCAATGGCTTAATGTGATGAAAGTTCATTTTTCAAAGAAAAGCACTTTGAGATGGCTCTGAATGAGGCTCCATGGATAAGGAGAGTGTGTTTCGTTGTCACTTGTATTGACCTATGAACTAAGAGCCAAATGTTCTCTCCTCCTCCATGCCCCATACTTACATGACTCTCACCATGCCAGACAAGTGATGGAAACATCAATTAGGGCAAGAAAGTTATTGAGCCAAAATTATGGTGTTAGAGAAAACAGTTCTAATTCTTGAACAAATTCCTCTGTGGTCCAAGACATCTA